AGAAATAATGCATGAGGCAACCAAAAGAGAGCTCAGAAAAGTGGTGGGAGAAAGTCATTCTGCTCTGGATCCAGTACTGGAGGAGAAACATATACTACAGCAGGTGTCTTAAATCCCCCTACCCAACAAAAGAAAGAGACCCATACCAACATCTCTCAAATCTAAGCTCTCTTTCATTCTCTGGTCTAGCATGAATCCCATGAATCCCTTGCTAGCCTAAGCATGCCTAGTGGGACTGAGACTCCACTCTCCAAGTTGGATACCAGACAGAGGGAGAGAGCAACAAGCAGACCATCCAGAAGTCACTTTGTGAAATAAAGTATGTGAGTGAGCGAATGAGTAAACACTCATTTTTTTTAGGAAGGTTTCGCCTTAGGGCATGTGCACTCACTGGAGACAGAGAGAGGCAGATACAATGAGAAGGAAAGAGAAATCACTCTTCGTGAGGATGATCAAGCTGCAATTAGGGCATGTGCACTCACTGGAGACAGAGAGAGGCAGATACAATGAGAAGGAAAGAGAAATCACTCTTCGTGAGGATGATCAAGCTGCAATTCCTTCTCTTCCATTCTCCTCCCAGGATCTTGGACACACAACACATATGAGCCTGGCATGATTTTCAAGCCATAGGTTCTGGAACTTGAATCACTGTCAGCCATGTGGGAGTCCAGCGATGTAACTGCTGTGCCATCTGCTAGTGTAAACGCTCATTCTCATAAAAGAATTATTTTATTTAACTTTATTTAACTTTTATTTTATTTAACTTTATTTATTTATTTATTTATTTATATTTTAATTTGACCAAAGAGGGACATGAGAGAGAGAGAGAGACAGAGAGAAAGTGAGAAAGCAAGTCACCAGGTCCAGGACTTGAACAACAGTTGACTATGTGGGAGTCCACCACGCCACCTACTCGCCCTGTAAATGCCCATTTTTAAGTTGGAAACTCAGATGTTTTTGCCATGAAATGACCAGAGGAGCTCTATACACATTAATGACTTCCGTGGTTTCTTGCAACACCATCACAAAGATTGCAATTAGTCTTTTTTTTTTTTTTAATATATTAAGGATCTCAGCTTCTTTCAAATGACCAATCAGTGTCATCCCAGAATTGTGTGCAACTTATTTTTAACTTGATTTTCCTGAAACATTAGCTCCAAATACTGTAGTGAAGGAACTTCGCAAAGTCATCTAATCTTACTTTAGACTCCTGTTTAAAATTCTTGTCAAAACTTTCTGGCCTTAAAATATGATCTCTACTAGATAAGTTAATTTAAATCTACACTGAGATACTACGTTTCATCTAACTCTTTGAAAAGGACCCAGAAGTTTGATATTGCACCGCATTGTCCAGGAAATAGGGGGACAGGCGTTCGTACACATTGCTACAGGCAGAGGTAATTGTTACAACCTCTACAGAGAACAAAACCTCCAGGTTGATGATCCTTATCAAACTGCAAATACTCATGTGCATGACCTTACAAATTCCACTTCTAGGAATTAATACCACAAATAATTCCTCTTATACGTATATGCATGGTTTAGAAGAATCATGCCATAGGACAATAGGCAAAGCATGCTGAAATTTGAATAAAAATGTCTGGGGCATATACTTCCTTAGATATGCCTAAATCATCTTTGAACAAATCCACTCTAATAACCAATATTTGTTGCTCATGAGTGACTTGTGGGACACAGATAGGAAGACACTTTATATTTTCAGATTTTAAATATGAGAATGATTATGCATTTTTAAAAGTCATCATTTATCATTAAGTATATTATACCTTTTCCTATACTGTTTTTTTCTGGCAGCTCACAATAAAGTTTGTGGGTTTTTTGGGTTTTATTTGTTTGTTTTTTAATGCCATATGATACGTGGTAAGCATGAGAGAGGAGAGAAAAAGAGAGAGAGCGAGTGAGAGAGAGCTAGAGAGAGAGAGCAACCCCAGCAGTGCCTGGCTACGATGCAATCTTTATCCCTCCAATTCTCTGCCACATCAGATCCTGAGAACTCACTTATACCCTGTGCATTTCTGGTTAGCCCAGTGGGATCTGACTTCCTCTGTGCAGTGCTTAACCACTATGCTATGGGGCCCGCTCTTTTCTTCCTTTCTTTACTGAAATAGCAGCTAGCAAATATCACAAACCGAGATAACTTAAAATCTCTAAACCTTCATTTAACAGCCTAATCAATTTTCACAATGTCTAATATTTGTATGTTCAAATCTTCAATAATATTTCCTGTCTTCTATGCTAATAAAAAAATACATTTCGCATTGTCACTGCACTCTTTTCTGTATATAATTTAGCTGTTGTTACTGCAACAAGAATAGTGTTTACCATTTGCATAGGGGATTTTGCTTTTATTTTTAAAGAAACCATTTATATTTAGCTTAATGAAAGTTTAGCGCCTGTTTGAGAGTATCAAATGAATTTAAGGATGCTGAAAAGAATAGATATTTTTCTTAATATTCAGCATGATTTGTTTTGAAATGTCTTAGTAATGATAGCTTCATATTTATTTTAGCTAAAAAAACTAATCTAAGAAGCAATATACACTAAAGGCAAGATTTATTGTTAACAAAAATGAATCTATAGCTATAATTCAGAGTTTATATCCCTATGTTTTAGAACAGAGATGGGAATAGGGGCCAGCATACTGTTTATATCACTGGACTCCCACATGGTAGACCTTGGTTCAAATCCCAGACCTGGTGGCTTGAAAATCACATTGGGCGCACGTACATGTGTGCCCTAGATCCCAGGAGAACAGAGGAGAAAGTATTGCAGTGTCACTATCCCCCATAAGGGGTGATTTCTTTCCTTCTCACTGACTCTGTCTTTCTCTTTCTCTCTCTCTGGCCAGCACATGTACCCTATGGTAAAAACCTCTAAAAAACGAATAGAACAGAACTGAAATATAATAGATATATATAAAATATATGTGTATATATAACTCTTTTTCTTTTTCCTTTTTTTGATATTTATTTTTATATACATTCAATGACATTGTTTAGCTTATGAAGTGAACATTTCAATATGTGAACATTTCTCCCCAGTCCAGTTGTTCAAAATATCTTCAACAGATAACACCACACCTCCGCGTCCTGTCAATGCTCTGCCTCTGTATCCTCCTCCAAATGTCCTTCCCTAGGTCCCACTCCTCCACACACACCACATCTGGCATTCACACCCATCTCTTGTGTTTGTATATCTTTTAGTCAATCAGTTTCAGTCATAGAGTGCAGACATTTGGTATTTATTAAGTAGAGACATACAATATCTCTCCTTCATAGCCTGGCTTGCTTTACTCAGCAGTAACATCTTCCATATTCTTCCACTTTCTGTCAAAATCCAGGGTTTTGTTGGGTTTTATGGCTGAATAATATTCCATTATGTATGTGTGCCACAGTTTTTAAATCCATTCATACATAGAGGGGCATTTGGGTTGGTTCCATGTCTTAGCAATTGTGAATAGTGCTGCAGGAAACATCGATGTGCAAGCACTTTTCCAATGAAGAATTCTTCTGTCCTTTGGGTAGATACTGAGGAGTATTGCTGGATCATATGGTATTCCTATTTGTAGATTTTTGAGGAATCTCCAAATTGTTCTCCACAGTGGCTGGACCAATTTACATTCCCAACAGCAATGTAAAAGAGTTCCCCTTTCACCACACCCACACCAACACTTATAATTTTTGTTTGTTTGTTTGTTTGTTTTTTAATCTTAGACATTCTGACTGGGGTTAGGTGGTACCTAATTCTTGTTTTGATCTGCATTTTCCTTAAGATGAGGGATGTTGAGCACATTTTCATATGCCTTATGGCTATTCGTATGTCATCTTTAGAGAGTTGTTTTATCAACTCCTTCTCCCATCCTTTAATAGGGTTGATCATTTTTTATTTTTCCAAACAACAGCTTGAGATCCTTGTATATTCTGGTTATCAGTCCCTTATCTGATGCATAATTTACAAAAATATTCTCCCATTCTGAGGGCTGTCTATTCTCACTAATTACTGCATCTTTTGCCATTCATAAATTTCTTAATCTGATGTAATCCCACTTGTCTATTTTGGGGATGATCAACTGTGCTTTGAGGGTCTTATTTAAGAAGTCCTTCCCTACCCCAATGCCTCCCAGAGTTTTCCCAGTGTTTTCCAGGAGCAGCTTTATAGTTTGAGGTCTTAGATTTAGATCCTTGATCCACCTTGACTTGATTTTTGTCAAAGGTGAGAGGTAGGGGTTCAGATTCATCTTTCTGCAAGTGGAAATCCAGTTTTTCCAGCACCATTTGCTGAAGAGGTTTTCCTTTTCCCACTGAATTGACTGGTACCCCTTGTCAAAAATCAGTTGACTCTATGTGTGGGAATTTATTTCTTGGGACTCTATTCTGTTCCATTGGTCCACGTGTCTGTTTCTGTGCTAGTACCATGCTGTTTTGATTACCACAGATTTGTAGTATATTTTTGGGTCAGGGAGTAAGATGCCACCCACTCCACTCTTCTTGTGTAGAATTGCTTTGGCAATACAGGGTCTTTTATGATTCCAGATGAATTTTATTATTGTCTTGTCTAGATCTGTGAAGAATGTGTCTGGTACTTTGATTTAACTCTTTCTTTTTCTAATGAATGAATAGTGATATAACTACTTGGCAAAACTACTAAGATATCCAGTTAACCTTAAATCTACTTGTTCTCATTTTGCACTTTAGATCTACTTTTACTAAAGCACAGACTCTGAAGTCATTGCAAATATCACTACAGCTGTGCTGTTGAGATCATTAACCTAGAAACCACAAAGAAATAGAAAAAAGGCAATTATATATCATGTTTCATTGAAAGCAATGAAATGAGGTAGTTACTTGGACAGAAGCAAATTTACCACAAAGAGACAAAAGTTCATTTTTATGTATTGATGACCAAAAGTGTGAAAAGCACCAATTATTAAAATTCCACATTCACTTTAAACCTAACTTTTCTCACTGTTGATCACTTACAAGTTTGGCAATGATTTTCTGTGGGTCCCCAGCATCGGCCAGTACACGACTTATGGCAACGTCCACCTGTAGAGCAGAGAAAAGGGAAAAAGAACATGCATGTGATAATCTTGCACTCCTTAACTAGAAGTTACTCCTCAAAAGAAACACTCTGTTTCTTTATGAGGGTTTTTATGCTATACTAGAGTTGAAACATAGCCCATAAAATCCCCACTTAAGCAACAAAGCCAGAATGTTCAATATATGTGCAACCAAAGTACAATCTCCTGGTACTCAAAAAACCTTTCATTATTTTATAAGAAAAAGACGTAAATTAATTTTTTTAATTATCTCAAAAAGTCAGAAGGCATTATATTAAATGAGCTTCACTTTGACTGTTGAACATTATTCTATTATTCTATTCTAATTAACATAGTTTCCAAAGTTCACAGCTTATCGATGCCAACAGATATTAAAAATTAAATGGCGGGACCAGCAGTTAGCGTAATGGCTATGTTGCTGGACTCCCACGTAGTCCATTGCGGTTCGTGTCCCGGTTCCGGTGGTTTAAAACTCATGCCGGGCACATGTGCATGCGTGCCCAAGATCCCGAGAGGAGAATGGAGGAGAAGGGATTGCGGTGTGGCTATCCCCCCTGGGGGGTGATTTCTCTCTTTCTGTCTCTCTCTGTCTGGCGAGCGCACGTGCCCTTTACCAAAAAAAAAAAAAAAAATTAAATGGTTAAAAAAAGTTGAAGTCTTTGAAAACAAGAACAAATTCTTGCAAATACATGCCAAACCATCAGAATAAAAGGAACAGCAAGCATGAGAAAAAGTTCACTTTTTCAAAAAGCTTAATTTCAATTATTTAATATATATGTTTTTCAAATTCTTCTTGATACCATCTGCACTTCCAAAAAACAGCCTTTTCCTCTTACAGTGGCATCTTCATCTACTTTAGTGCATTTGTCTCAATAAATAGTTGTCCCGCAGACAAATTCCCATACAGTCCCAACAAAAAGAAGATTAGCTAAAAACCATGTCAATTGCTATGAAGTTTGCTTCATAGTTTCATAGGTTCCCTTAATTTCTTATGGCACATGGCTCAGTTTTAAAAAGAAAAATAAACTTCAAAAATCATTAGGCTAGGGAACCAGCAGTTAGCGTAATGGCTATGTCGCTGGACTCCCACGTAGTCGACCGTGGTTCGTGTCCTGGACCCGGTGGCTTAAAACTCACGCCGGGCGCGTGTGCGTGCGTGCCCAAGATCCGGAGAGGAGAATGGAGGAGAAGGTATTGCGGCGTGACCATCCCCCCTGGGGGGTGATTTCTCGCTTTCTGTCTCTATGTCTCTCTCTGTCTGTCTGGCGAGTGCACGCGCCCTACAGTGAAAATCTCTCAAAAAAAAAAAAAAGTCATTAGGCTAAATTTTCTATAATGCACTTCTTATTTAAAACTTCTATATTAATTTCCTAATTTTAATTGTAAATAGGATTCAAAGTATTTAACCAAGTTAAATACATTGTAAAAATTACCAAATAATGTTGTGTCACATATTGTCATCTTTCCTTTACCCAGAGATTTTAAATCTTCACCTTGGAAGTTCTTACAATACGGAGGTTCTCCACCTTCTTGAAACTGGCTGAGGAAGTCTATGCTTACTACCTAAGTGAACTTAAGTTCTTACACACTTAAGAGGGAGATTCAGGGGCTAGATGGTGACGTAGTTGCAGTATCTTATGCACTGTGAGACTTATCCAAATAGGAAGGTCCCAGGTTCATCCAAGTGTGCCAGTGATCTGGGGTGGGTTGTAAGCTGCACTTACAACATTAAGACCCAGCTAAGGATTCTGTCTGTCTCTCTGTCTGACTCATGGAAGAAATATAATTTTCAAAGAAGAGACAGATTCAGCATATACTTTCTCTGACTGAATCTCAAACCATCTTGACGGTCTACTCTTGGAAGCAAACAATAACGTTTCCAAGTTAATCCAATCCTCAGGTTCAATTCAAGTCGTTGTTTTAGAAAGTCTCAAGATTCTTGCTACAACAGTTTATTTGAAGCAATTCTGATTGTGAAGCACAGCTACTGACGTCACCAGTGTATAATATCCTGTCACTTTGCCATCTGTTTATTTAGATCTAAACACACTATAACTACATAATGCAAATTCATTCTACATGACAGGAAAAGAACTCCATCTGGCCTAACAATATAACTTTAATCAGCGATAATGATAATTATTATTAAAAACTTACTCGAGTTCTTTGTACAAAGCTAATAAATCTAAATTGATTTATAGCAGCGGAAATGAGCAAGGACTGTGAGACACAATGGGAAAAGTGAAAACTTTTTAGCGTTCAAACATTTTATGAGAAAGTAGCTAATGTTAATGTGTTTTTCTTAGACATACTAACATCCTTTACATTGACCCATTAAGTGGTCTGTTAAGTGAAGATCTCTGAAGCAGAGGGTGATCTATTACTTAATCTATGACTTTTTAAATTGTGTTTGGGGCTAATAAAATATTTAGCTCTTTTCTTTCTGTCCAGAATACTATCTGGTTAGAGAAAGAAAGAGAAAAAGACAGAGAGAGAAAGAGAGGAAAAGAAGGAGGAAAAGAAGGAAGGAAGAAAAAGAAAACGTAGAAGAGCAAGAGAAAAAGATGAGACCAGCAGTTAGCGTAATGGCTATGTTGCTGGACTCCCATGTAGTTGACCACGGTCCACATCCTGGACCCGGTGATTTAAAACTCATGCTGGGCGCGTGTGCATGCGTGCCCAAGATCCGGAGAGGAGAACAGAGGAGAAGGGATTGCAGCGTGACCATCCCCCCTGGGGGGTGATTTCTCGCTTTCTGTCTCTCTGTCTCTCTCTGTCTGGCGAATGCACATGCCCTATAGCAAAAACCTCTCCAAAAAATAATAAATAAATAAATAAATAAGAAAAAGAGAAGCTAATGACATCAGTAATGAACATATTAATACTTTGAATATTCTCCTCCTATTGGATTACATTTTTTAACTTCTCCTTTGACATGTCAATTTACCATCCAGAGAATTGCTCCCAGATTTGATACAGAAAAGTATATTTTTTGAAAATTACATGTTTATTTTATTTTAAATAATTATTAACTTAATTTATTGTTATCTTTTCCCTCATGTTTTCTTTTTTTTCTTTCCTTTTTTTTATTTCATTTTCTTCCATACATTCAATCACATTATTATTTGTCTTACAAAATGAATATTTCAACAGAAAAGCATATTACTAGAAATATTGTTAATGATTCTTGATGAAGTATCAGAGCAAGGCCCACGTATTTGAAAACAAATGATAAAGTATCTCTGACACAAGAAAAATTTAAATAATTCAACCTCGATTGCTGAAATCTTGTTTGGTAGTTTTAGTTAGCAATCTATAATACATTTAAGCAAAATATCTATTACTACCATAAAAAGAAGCCACAAGAAAATGCTTCTCTTGCTTGGTTTTTAGATTTTATTTGGTTTTATACTCCCTCCACCCTCTTTGGAGACAAAGAAATGATCACTTGACCCCCACACTTCAGAATTCTAGTCTCACATATGCACCAACGGATTTTGAATGGAATGTGGTTCTATATATGGTTGCTCTCTCTCTATCTCGGCATCTCTCTAGAGCTGTGACTCTGGAATATGCCCAGATGCTCAACACAACTGTGATCTTCCAAACAGCGTAATATATAGCCTTTGTGTTAATGCTGCTCTCACTAAGTCGCTGCAATTAACTGTTAACATATCTAACCTAACTCTCTGACCAGAGATGTCACTGAACTAAGCAATTTATTACAGTGTCATGCCTGTGATCTTAGTTTGATTCTTATGGAACATTAATAAGTACAGTTTTATGAAATATTCTGATACTATGATCAACCTCTCCTCCCCCAAAGAGTGCATGCCCTCAATAGATACAGAGAGAGAAGGAAAGTGAAAAAGCACTCCCCTTCACCTGGGACACAGTCTTTCTACATCACTTTTCCCTTCTCCTTTCAGGATTTTGGGCACACACGCACATGTGCCCAGCATGTTTTAGAAGCCACCAGGTTCAGGACTCAAATTGCTCAGTAGGCCATGTGGAATCTGGCTGGCTAAACCGCTAGAACATAGGCTGGCACAATTAACTATGTTTTAATATAAGACTTAAGATTTTTGTTTCCATAATTTCTGCTGTACAAAAGTGCCAAAGAAATGAAGAGGTAGATAAATGATTTCCATACCAATTATCTAATATAGAGAAAAACAACAGAACCTGCTCCAAGCTTTCCTTCTTACCTTCCTTCCATCTATTTATCTATTTGTAATTATTTCGAATGCACCTTCTTTTTTTTTTTTTTTTTGGAGAGATTTTCACTGTAGGGCGCATGCGTTCGCCAGACAGACAGAGAGAGACATAGAGACAGAAAGCGAGAAATCACCCCCCAGGGGGGATGGTCACACTACAATCCCTTCTCCTCCATTCTCCTCTCGGGATCTTGGGCACGCACGCACACGCGCCCGGCGTGAGTTTTAAGCCACCGGGTCCGGGACACGAACCGCAGTCGACTACGTGGGAGTCCAGCAACATAACCATGACGCTAACTGCTGGTTCCCTCGAATGCACCTTCTTTGCTCCTTGTGTTAGGTACTAGAAAAGGAGTGGAGATAAACTACCGAGTTAGAGCTCTATGAGGTTACCACCCTCACAGAGTTTACAATTAATTCAGCATTATTTCAAAGGGAAAATGTCATAACTACTTTGTATATAATATTCATCTTCTATAGGTTTAATGGAAAAAAAAACAACAAAACTAAATTGTGTGTGTGTGTGTGTGTGTGTGTGTGTGTTTTAGAGGTTTTTGCCTTAGATTATGTATGTTCGCTGGAGAGAGAGAGACAGAGACAGTGAGAAGGAAAGTGGAAATCACCTTGCAGGGGAGATGACCATGCCACAGTTTCTTCTTCTCCATACTCCACTCAGGATTTGGGGCATGCATGCACACATATCTGGCATGTCAGGATACCAGACCCAGGACTCAAACTGCAGGAGTCCAGTGACATAACTTCTATGCCA